TTCTGAAGTAATAAGGTTTATTTCTAGGGTTCTGGAGACCTTGTGATCTTGTGTAAAATTCATTAAGAAAAAGTTTTATAAGACACCTGGCTTTCCTCCTCTTTTTAAACACTTTTTGGAACATATTCTAATAATAAATACAATTTATAATAGTCGAGAACTATTGGGGATATCAATGCAGGATCTCTACAGGATAGAAGAGGTGTGTCTTCCACTTATTTCCCTCGTGAAGGAAGTGAGTTAAATCTTTCTCAGTTCACCAGTGCATCTCACAGATCCCAGTAACTTTATGTTGAAACTTTGAACTTCATGTGAAACAAACTTCTTAACAATTAATTTTTCTTCTCCTTCGTCCCCTCTCCCATTCCATACAAAACTAAAAGCAACTGTTAAAATCTTATTTAATGTACTCCTAGAGTACAAGAGGGGGTTAAAGAATAGGAATAGGAACTCCTAGTACAGTGATCTAATAGTTTAGCTGAACAGACAAGTGCTGTCATTCCCTTGGTCATACTACAAGTCTCTCTATATTGCTCCAACCATGGTCTTGAGAGGCCTGATCAGAAAGATATATGACTTGAGAAGCAAAAGAAGTGGGAAAAAATCTGTTAGCCTCAAACCTCTCTAGATCAGCCTAGTGGGAGGAAGACTGCTTCCCTCTCCGTTCTGAACTCTTCCCTTAAATGTTGAGTTTGTCCAATGTAGAACAACCGCCAAATAATGCAAAGCACAGGCAGCAAGTTGGCAAGGAGGTGACAGTTTAGTTTTGAAAATAAAAAGGGTATGTTTCTATGATAAATGACATAACTTTCTTGCATAACCATTTAAAGACCATCAATGTGAAAATAACGAAACAGCAAAGTTGCATTCAGGCTCACAGAGCTCAAGACACCAGTTCTGTTAGATCTATACCAGCCTTTTCTTTCCATAGGTGTACATAAACTCTTTTCCGATTCGAAAGAACTGAACACCAACTAGCATTTTTCTATAGTAAGAACAATTTAACACCCCCACCCCCCCCATCATTATTTCCCTTTTTCATACGCACAGAAAAACATTAGTTGCTGGAGAAAATGACACTCTAAAGTATTATTTAAGTGAAAATTACAGGGCAGTTGACACAGAATTCCCAACCACATACATCTGTGTATGACTAAGGATATAAAACAAGATCTCATGTGACCTTTCAATCTTAGACATAATGATTAGCCTATAATATTGCTAGTCTGCTCCCAGCTCTCCTGAAGTCTTATTAAAAACACCCTTTCAAGACACATTTCTCTCCCCTTAACAGGCAAATTCCTTTGCTGCCAAGAAAAGCAAGCAAGAGAGAACCGTATGAAATGCCGCATATGTTGTACTTCATGTCAGGAAAACCAAGTGATTACCTTACAGGCATGCTATCACCAGGTGCAGCGAGCAGCAGAAAATACAATCAGAAAAGGAGCACATAAGCTGATAAAAGCTGCAAGCGCAGAGGTAGCCTGTGTAACCACCCAGATCAAGCTGCAGGAAGTAGCTGTAACAAGTCACTGTAGGATAAGCCTGAGCAGGCTACTGGTATAACCCGGGCGCACGGCAGCTTCACCTCTTTCGCTGCCAGCGTAATCCAGCAGTAACAATGCTCTCACTTCTACCCCACCATCCTTTGTACAGAGCATGGCATTTTAATTCATTTTGCCTCATTCTGAAAAATATTGAAAAATCCCCTGAAGTGGAAGAGTACACTTATTTCATATATCAAGAAACTACAGTGGGATGCTATCCTTTATGTGATTTAAACTGGTCTGTTTGGTTTTGGGTTTTTTTTAAATCACCCCTCCCTCTTCTCTTTTTTCATAGCTTCTAGACCACTCAAAATTCCCTTTTTCTCCCCCATCCTATTACTTGAGCTCTGGCTGCACTTTCAGCAGTAATTTGTGGTTTAACAACTTATTCCAACCCATTTTCCAGTACTAACAGTTTCTGAATTACTTTCTTACAATAGAAGGTAGGTGAACATCCCAAAACTGATGTAGAAATGGCAGCTTTCTGGTTATGTGGAGAGCTATTTATCAAAAACCATCCCTTTTTCTTCCTGTTTTCTCCCTCCCCATCTTTCCTTTCTTTCCACCCTAGCACTCCTCACCCTCCCTCACCTACATCCCTGCGGGAAAAAAACCAAACAACCAACCCTGAAAAAATCATTCCATATCCAGAGACACATTTTGGTTGGCAGTACCTTGATCCAGACTTCAATATATGTTATACTGGTCGTGATTAAATATTCTAGTGGAATGTAAAATAACTGGTTTAGCTCTCAAATACTGTTTCCTCTTCTTAGAAAAATCGTTGAAAAAAGTACTGGCTTTAGAAATCTTTAACCTTATTTTTGTGGATCCAAACCTCATTTAGGCAAAAACTGCACAGAGACAACCAGCAGCATCCAGAAAAAGTTAAGAAAAAAATCTCTTCTCCTCCCTTCCAGTTAGCTACTAGCTGAAGCAAGTTCCAGAGTACCCAGAATGATCATTTTAAAACCTATTCCAAAGACATTATCTGTAGTTCAGACTTCTAAAGTAATCAGAAAAAGGTCTTGAAAATGAGCATTCCAATTCCTTTTGAAGCTTTCCAGTTTGAAAAAAAATACTCACAAAATCATTTCATAAAAACTGTTTAATGCAAAGTAGGGATGTATTTAATACTTGAAGCATGGCAGCTAAACTCAAGCAATATACCCTAATTTCAAAAATAACTGCAATTATTTTTAAATAATTAAAATAAATTAAACAAACATAGCCATGCCCACAACAAAACGTAGCCAAAAAAGGCTTTCTTTGACAAACCAACAATGTAGCCTGGCTTGCTTTAGGGCTGAAAAGCAGCATGTACCTGCCTAGTGATGTTAAGATGCTTATCAGCTGGTTAGAAGGATTTGCAGACCCTGCGGAGAAGCAGGTAAGAGAGGAAGTGGGGAAAGGAAGGAGAGTTACAGTAGAAGAGGACAGGACAGTCCCAGCATCAAGTCAGAGCCTATAATGGCTCATGCACTCTTCAGACAACCCTAAAGAAAGTAACTTAGAGGATTTAGTTCACCACTACTTATTCAAGCTGTCTTACAAAAATTTTTATAATTACTTTAAAAATTTGATATTGCAAACAATGGGGGGGAATCTAATCATATTTACACCCACCTCCTCCCTTAATCTTCAATATCTAATCTTTCTACAGCAATCTGAACTAGTAAACATGAAATTGTAAAACAAGCAAAGAAAACCAACCAACCAAAAAAAACCCACAAAAACAATTTGTATGACAGTTCTATGGTTTTGAAATCCATTTTCTACTGATAAATAGCTGCAGAACTCACTAGCTCTTTGGCATCCTCATGAAGATGATATATCAGAAAACCATGGGTTATGTATGAAAATAACATCATTCACCCTATGTTTTCTGATTCCTTCTTAGAACTGTTAGAAACCTTGATATTAAAAAATTCTGATCTGATGGAACTCGGGAATTAAAACCTTAGATGGAAAGTTATTCAAGTTATTTGGTTAATTTAGCACATATCAATCCTTCAACAACTTTTAACTATTTTTGGAAACTGAGCTTGATACCGTATCAAATCAACACAAATATGTCATTATATTCAAATGTCTAGAAAACTTAATGAAAACATAAACATACTAAGATTAAAGATAATTTTTAAAACCACAGATTCTGTATCTACTGTGAAGTCGCCTCCCAAAATGTCACAGTGCATGCTAATCAAATCCTTCCCATTACTGCAGTTGCAGCACACAATGAAGTCAGAAAAATGTACTTGCAACAATAACCCCTTCATGAAGATTTCCATCATGAGACTGTCAAACTGTATAGTATAACAATTTCCAGTACTCAGGTTTAATCCAGCTAGACAAAAATGTTGGAGACACTCCAACTGTTTTATGGCTTAGGGCATCAAAGACCCTGAGATGGCTTCCCAAATGCCGTCAGATGCTACATCTCCCATTCTTGGAACCCTGGTTTCCTTGACACTCTCCTACTGACCCCAGGAAATTCCACTATAGCAACTCTATGTCCTCCTCAGCAGAAGAAAAATGCAGCAGCACATCCAAGCTGCACTCCTTCAACGATCCATGCATCAATAATGATTTTAAATGAAACATCAGCTTTTCAGGATTTAATTACACAGCACCATAATCATAAGTTTTATACATTCCTGGCTGTTTTAGTCAGCAGGACTGTTGCCTGATGGACATATAGAAATGTCCGCTGTTCATGTGTGACACCAAGACTTAACAGCATAAAGATGACAAATGGCTAACAAAACTCTGTAATATAAAGGAAAAAAAAAATCTTTATATAGCCTACAGACCTTTCCCTAGAAAAAATTATTTTTTAAATAAATCCTATTAGTTGACACATTTCAGAATTATAAAATTTCTTTTTTGTATTTGAAAACTGATCTTCTCTTTGTTTGGAGCAAGATTATTTAATCACTGCCTTAAACTTGCAATAAAAATACTAATCACTAAGTATCACATCAAAACGGTAAATCGAAAGTGCTGCTTTATTCACAAATGTGTTTTCTTGTTCTCAATACCAATGACTATTTACAAGTTTCAGTGTTTTCTGCAGATGATTTACTTGAGTAAAAACTATTAAAAATATGATAGCAGTAGCAGCTTTACATTCATGAACTTCTACATAAAAAAACTCCTCAGATCGGAAGTCAGAAACTAGAGGTAAGAAAACAGATTTTAATTTTAATCTTCTAAAACTTGTCATGTTTTTGAAAGAAATTGACCACTTATTACTTGTGCATATAAGAGTTTATCTCAAGACTGGCAGAGATAAAAGGATTTGTGGTTTATGCATCTAATTTAGAGACATAATTAGAAAATTATCTCACTGTACGTTCGCAGAGAGGCATTGCAGAAGCTCCTGACTCCTGTCTGCTTCCATTTGATACATAAAGAACTTCTAATTATAACAAGGCAGCTCAGAAGTCTTACCTGAGTCTGCTTCATTGCCCGTTCCATTCTGCGAGTACTTCCTTTCTCAAGCTTGGTCCGAAGGAGTAAGGCTGACGTCTGAATGGCCCAGAACTTCGGCTGAGAGAGTAAGCACTGCAGAGAAAAATAACATTTTTTTCATTATTTCGTTTTAAAAGACACTGAAGACAGTAAAGTTTTTAACAGTGTTCTCAGGCATGAATGCTGTTTCCTATTCTGAAAGTCAAATACATGGTTGTAATACTTATTTGATGAACTGAAGGCTGTACAGATTACCTTAATCTATTTTCAATATAGAAGGCAGCCATCAAAATTATTTTCTCCTTCTCGGCTACTGCAGCACTGTGTGTACATGTACCCATATGGTGCATATACCAAACTGCACAAATTAAAATGGCCACTCAGAATGAAAGGAAAATAAAGAATTTGTTAATGAGCAGTCTGGCTCAGCCTTCTCCGCACCTGCATACTGGATAGTTGTAGACAGCAGCAGGGATCCTACTTATGGCTGAACAAAACCAGTTCTCTCTTGGCCTCTCCTCATACGCGAGATGCTCCGATGCCTGCATTAACAGCATCTCCATATTAAATAGGCTGAAATTGCCTTATATTGCTGAAGTTATAAGGAATACGGAATAATCTAGGTAAAAAGCTTTCCTAAAGACATGGTAGGTTATCACTTGGAATGCCCTGCCCTGATGTGAGGAACTTGGTGCCAGTCTCCAACCACTGATTTTTAGGAAAGCCCGATAGAAGATATGTAGGCAATACAACTTTGATATCCCTTAATAATGTACAGACTGCCTGGATTCTTTCCAGTATGGATTCAGACACAGTATTCTATTTTTCTGTTAGATATTCACTTTGAAAAGAAAGACAGCAGGAAAACTTCCTTGCTAATTTTATTGACACTACAAATATGATCCAGCTTCTCTGAGAAAATAACTTTGTCTATAGATATTTGTAGACTGGAGAAAAAGCCCCAGTGGTTTTATTCTTTCCTCTCAAAGATGTCCCAAAGCATTAAAAAGTATACTTTGCTGGTGGTTTGTGTGAAACGCCTGACAAATTTCTGTCATATTGGAATCTTATCTGTTTTTCTTTTTCCTAGTGTTTTCACAAGAAAGGAAGCAGAAAGAAACAAGCTAAAACAAATTCTCTCCAAGCAAAACTACAATGGGAAGAGAGGCGACAGCAAATGAAAGCATAAATGAGAGCAGTATGAATGCATGTTAAGTCACCAAACACTTCAACATCAGCTGATCCTCTTTTGTGACCAACAACCTCTGCACTGATTCTTTCATGACTTCTACTCAGTATTACAGTAAGAAGTACCCAAAGGCTTCTATACTGTCCTCTACGTGCTGAGGACCTGGAAATACTAGGGGAACACAGTCGCAACATTCTATATTCTGTATACTTTCAAGTGCCCTTTTACAAATGAATTATGATCAGTAAATCTGTTAATGGGTCCAAATCCTAGTTCTGAGAGCTCATCTCTCTCCCGTGTCATCATGGGAAGTTCAGTCTACTACCTATTTTTTTTGGTCTTAAGACAAACCCTCCACTGCAGGCCACAAGCAAGGCATTCCTAACAGAGGACCTTGGTTTCTGAATTTATTCTTTGGTGGCCATTCTAGGTGGATGCTAAAAAAAACCGTAAGAGATTGTTAGGACAAACACTTGAACAATGTTTACTTTAGCTTAAAAACATCTTTTGTGAGGAAGGTTACCCTTTCCCTCATTTTCTCCACTATTGGTATTTGGTCATATTATTTTATTTTTTACTTAAAGGGAATATTTTTTCTCTGCTACACAGTGGTAGATACTAGTATTTATTTTTCAAATGAACACAACATCTCTCAAAAGAATAATGGAAACTAAAGGGCTTGACTAATAATGCTCCTAAAGATATTTTCAGGTCCAATTACAGCCCTTGTCCAGCAGCACAGTACTTGTCCCCTCACTCTGGTTCACCGTAGCAACTGGCACAAGCAGGGCACAGCACAAAGCCTCTGTGTCCACGCCATCCAGCTCTGCAAGAGAACCGGCAGCTCAGGAAAGCCTCTCCTCTGCCTCTGTGCATACCTCCTACACCACTGTCTAGGCAGTGATTTAAGCAATCATGCTGTATGAGGTGTGTATAAAGTCATATGGGGAGGAAGAAAAAGGTAAGAGAAATAAGGTGGGAAGGGAGGCAGAGATAATTACGTTTCACTTCTCTGCAGGAGCAATGACAGTCTTATATTGAATAACAATCCTGCTTTTTAAAGGTATTCATGAAACAAAATGTAAGGTATACCTGCTGTACAATTACAGAAGAAAAATTTAAATTCTCTAACAGTTTTATTGATACAAAAAAGCACTGCAACTGTGTAGGACAATGAGAAGCAGGCCTATTTTTCAGTTAAGAAACACTTTTAATTTTATACTTGTACTGAGCTCAGTCTTGGGACAGAACTCAAATGTTCACCTTTTAATTGCCGAATTGTAATGTTTAAAGCACCACAGATACAAAATACTGCATGTATAAAGGGCACAAATGTTTATACTCAAGGGCTGTAACGAATAATTTCAGAACATGTGTCCATAACTGTTAAGCATGCTTTAATCTTCTACTCAAAATCTCCACATATTCCAGATAAGTATTTTCTTGTAAGTCCCAAAGCTTTATATTTTCACCTGAAGCTAAATCTAGACTCTATTAAAGAGATTGTATGTTAAAATAGAACATCTGGAAAAAAGAAAAACTAAATCAAGATTATGCAAGTTTTATCAACAGATCTGAAAGTTTATTGTACTGTACAAAAGGCAGCTAAGAAAATTAACAAAATAATTCTAAACCAAAAACACTGTTGAGAATCTTCACAAGTCATCTTTG